TGAACAGCTTCTGCAAGGGTTTGTGGGCAATATTAGCCTAGACACGTTATGAAATCATCACAGTATAATTACAGATGCCCTAAAACCCTACAATGGCATACTATTTAATATTGAATAGTACCCATTTCTCTTAAACGTAAAATAGTCAAATGTGGTTTGCCAGTTTGAGTTTGATAAACTGGTTTGGATAAGCTGGTGAAAATTGCCCTAAACCCCTCTAAATCTATGAAGTCAGCTAAGAGTAACAAGCCACCTTAGGCTTGTTTGTGGAGATTTTTTTCTAAAGGGATGGAAATAGGGGTTTACTTAGGGTTTCTAGCAGCTCTTCAGAATTACATTAACACACAAAGTACAGAGTGAAAGGTCAGACTTGAAAACCTGGAATATGGGACAGTTCTTACCACTCTCTAGTACTGCCATGTTGGAAATGTTGCTTTTGTCCGTCTGATGTTCGGAAGCGACTGACGTGAACTCGACATCTCCTGCATTTAGGATCCCAGCTAAGATACTGTAAACACTCCCGAGCTCCTAATTAGATCATGACAACAAAAAAAAAAGTACCACAGTTGTTATTAATAGATCAACATCATGCATTAAGCTAAAAATTCCACAAAAGAGATGCCAGGCATGAATAACATGATTTATTACATGATATCACATCTATGTTTAAACGTCCCAGGCCAGAGGAATGAATCTGCTACATATTTCTGTGAATGTAGCATAGCAGCTAATATCTAGTGGCACACTGACACGTCTGTCTATTCGATTATATGGACTCCCTAAAGAATACAGTGCTTCGTAATGTCAAAGCCATGCCACTCACAGGCCTGTGATTACTCATGTCTCCCTGGAGAAATAGAAAATTAAACTGACATTACAGAGACAGAGTAAGTTCTCTAAGAAGATTTAGATGTTGGCCTGGTGGTATTTCAGTGGTAGAAAGCACAACAGTGACCGTCCACTTCTTTAGTGATTCCAGAAATAAGGTTCTTAGCACACCTTAGCATTCTATTAAAAGGAATATTTATTATGAAAATAACATACCTTTTTAAATGTAATGTAATAGTGAAAATTAGTGATGAAAGTGTACTCACTTTAAGAACACCTATGGGGCTTTTTATTTCATTAATATGATATTATCAGGCTTTTTTTTTTAAAGATTAGAAATACACTACATCTTCAATTCTAATTTGAGGAATAGTTCACCCAAAAATGAAAATGAGCCATTCAAGATGTAGATGTGTTTGTTTCTTCATTGGAACACATTTGGGGAAATGTAGCATTTCATCACTTGCTCACCAGTGGACAATGGATCCTCTGCAGTGAATGGGTGCCGTCAGAATGAGAGT